TATGATGCTTGCCGTGTTTGATGTCTCCAAGGCTGTGGAGCACGGGAGAGTGATAGAGCCTGTCATCGAGTATACGAGTGGACAAATCAGGTGTGTTTGTTGGTGTCTGTACGGGGGTGAATGTTAATGTACGATCTCTAAGCCATCCGGTCCCGTTCAAGTGTTCGATCAAGGCTCGATCCGCGAAGGCCGAGGCATTGCTGGACTCGATAGACTCTGAAGCCTCTCATGACTAGAGGGTCCTGAGAGCCTTGTAGCGGCGTGTATATAAACGTCTTTGTACATTATGGTGATAGGTGATTGTGATGCAGTTCCATCCATAACTCGAACGGGCACCCATAGTCCTACCTTCTAGCATATGCGGGATATAGTGCAGGCCGCATTGAATCAGTGCTTGTTTCATTCGTCTCAGTTGACCCCAATTGCCGCCCAATTTGATAGTAATGTAGTTCTTGAGTACCCGCTGGCGGTGACTTTATGGCATGCTCACCTCAAGCGGTCACATCAAGGTTCAGTGTCCTTTAAGATTTATTCACGATACGCTAGTTCTTCTGGCATCTAATATAAGCGCTAGACTACGAGCATGACTTGACAATTCCAGGCTAATGGGGACAAGGTATCAACGTGGTCGACTGGTAGTATCCTCTACCGCGCTTTTACTCCTTTGTGACATTGGAGACATATATTTTTACTGGTATGTTCGATACATAATGCCTGGAATAGCTTGTTGACGTCTGATCATTGGTGGGACCACCATTCCGACTGAATAGAAAATCAGGTGCGCCCATTTGCTCGGTCAGCACGAACACACTTATTGATTGTTTCCTCCAGTGTGAAACTCAATCTAAGAATGTAATATTCAATGACTAAGTCAGAACTAAATCTTGGCTTATATTCCAGTACAACGGTCTTTGATGGTATAGGCTTGAGTCTATGATGTTTTCTGAGACAAGTGCTGAGTAGCTGTACTGTGGGTATGCAAACCCACAAGGGTAACATTGATTAAAGGAAAGGATGACACACAATCACGGCGCAGAGTCGCAAGCTAACCACTGAATGGACGGCGAGGGTTGGGGCACAGAGAAACTTACAAATCTATCATCGTAAGAGCAGAAGGCAGACGAAAGCTAGCCTTTGCACAGTTTGTAGCTTCTTCGAAGTTCAGTAAATAATGGAGTAACATTAAGCGTTGTCAGGGTTCGTGGGATTATGGCAAACCGGGCACTATGAAGGTCGACCCGCAGGGGAGCACTCCGTCTCCCAGTCCACCGGTGTCAAATCCAACACGCGTTCACGGAATGCTGCGAGGGTACAAAATTCCGGCGCACCAGGGAGATGCTTGCCTTCGGCTGCGCAGGCAGGTATGGGGAGATTACGGTTCTGATAACGCATGCGGACATCTGACCAAAGCACAGGCATTGATGGCATCAGAACAAATTATGAGCCACACAGATAAGAGGCGCACAGTGCTCATGTAAAGGGTCGGCGCGTTGTCGCTGGAATGGAGCTAGGACACTTTGCCATATCGAAGGCTGCATTTCCAGCGGGCTCCGCTTATGGAAAAGTTCAAACGTGATTGCAGACGAGAATGCAGGCCATCTGAGTGAATATGTTATGATACTAATTATGGTTAGGAGAGGAAGCTCATACCTATTGTCAAACACCTCTAATGTACTGCAAAGGGCGGCAAGACTCGTATCATGAGTACTGTGAATCAAGATCTTGAGTGGGTCGCGTGAGCCATGTTCTGCCTTGGCTGCAAGCTTGCGGGACAGATCACTGAGTAACGGCCCCATTCCCAACCTTCGGACTTCCTCGGTTTTATCTACCGAACAGAACGATCAGTCATACATTGTACTCGATGCGAATTGCGTGTCTCACATCCTATCAGAAAACACTTATAAGCGACCTCTAGTGCTAAGCAATCATCAGAACACGCATGCGCTGACCTGCGAACCATTCATTTACCACGGCCTTCTCCTGTTACGGACGAACGCAACATATCAAGATGGAATCGAGAAAACCGGGGGAAATACGAACAATCAAGTCCACCACGCCTGGTTCCTGAAATTCTGGTGGGATTGGGATACTATGTGCAACAGCGGCTTTGACCTGCCAGATTGCGATTCAGCAAGACTTCAAGTAGCATGCTCCCTTGCTACATACTGTATCCAGTATCCCAGATGCCCGTGGCTTCCCATCTAGTCTGATGGGATTGCCTCCAACGTATTTCGAGAGCTTTGGATCGAGGGCCGCAAGAACTTGGTTCCATTCCGTTGCGGCAGCTGATGATAGCATTAGCATTCTGGCGCCGTGACTTGCCTAAAAATCTCAAACGCGCCTTGAGCAAAACCTATCTGGAGAATCTCGAGCCGTTTACAAGCCAGGGTATTCCCGAACAGATTCTCGTCCTTCCCATTTCTTGACCAGAATGAGCGTGAATTAGGAGAAGAAGGTCAGCCAGAGTCAGTGACTAACCGTATTCTAAGGTTCGGAACGAAATCGCCTCCGAGTTTCGTGTCTGGATAAAGGCCGTGAATAACTTGCTGAAGCGACTCGATTGTCCTGGGTACATTTGTAGAGCGTAAATATATCTCCTCGTTCGATTCAGCCACGTCGGGTAAAAATCCAAGTCTGCGTTGCATAAGACGCGAGTCCCCGCTATGATACTGATGCAGGACGGACCTGTCGATGTAAAGCCGCCTCAAGGCGTGACCAAAATTGTATGTTGTCTACGAAAATGTCCCACGGTGAGAGGCAGACGAATGCCTTGCATGAGCAAACGTTCTGATTCCATTAAAATGAGTAATGGAAGCCAGGGGCGTGCTTACCTGTCTTCCAACGTCCGTCAGCTCGCCCAATAGACTTCATTGTAAAAATTGCGACATTGAAAATGACATCAGAGGCCCGGCATGCCTGTGCCGGAGAGATAATAGAATTGGGGGAACACTACTCACCATTCACCAGAAGTGGCGGTTCCATCTGCCCGTTCGACAACCCTCACGGTGCGCAGAGATTCCTGCATCCCACCACTGTCATCCTTTGTCATGTTAGGGACGCCTGGGATGATAGGTCCACTACTGGCAACGGCGGCGCGAAAATGGCGCGCAGTGTTGCAGAACATCCAATGCTTCGGAATGGATGCAGGGGGCTCGGCCATACGGATACCAACTGGGGTGCGTTCACCTGCACGTCATAGAATCACGGGCACGCGCCTGGTATCATGAAGAGAATAAACTAGTCAAGACATGAACACACACCATGCCGGACATAGATATGCACCTGCTCGAGCTCAAGCTCCGGTGGTGCGGCAGGATATCCCTCTACATCGAGCGGTACGTGACCAGAGCTATTGCCCACAACGGTGTGATTCGAGCTGCCGCTAGCGAACTCCAGATTCACGCCGGGCATGTCAGTACTGACCCTTGAAAAACCGGGCCTTGGAAAGAGCAGCAGTGTGACCAAAAGACACGCAAATGGACATGCACGTAAGAGAGAAGAGTGCAGCATGTAAGCGCAAGTTCCACCGAATGGCTTGTCGTCCCGGACTCGTGGCTGAGTACCGTTTCACTACTATGCCGCGGCAACGGTGACACACTAGAGGCGACCGCTGCTTTATTTGATAGCAAATACTTTCCGCGAGATTCTGGATGAAGAGCACAATACAGGAGCATCGACAGCAGAGCGCTGCGTCGCAGCTGTCGTTTTCGGCGTCATCATTCTGGTAAGGCTGCGAACTCCGTTATCTTGACGACGGTTGATACAGCCATTTGAGAGCAGAGATTGCTTGTATCAGGTATGCATAACGAGTGTATATACTTTGTGAAGTCCTTCTAAACCATTACGAGGACGAGAATCATAACACAAACTACCTCGTCCGGAGTTTAGACGATAATCAAAAGCACGTAGTGTAAGGAGTCAAAATAGTCAGGTATAAAGATTCCACACAACAGGATCAGACCATAAAGTCGATCTAGAGCAGCACCTGACCAAGACCATGTAAAGCAGGTATAACTTATAACGGGAGGACAGTGTTGAAGACGTAGTCCCACATCTTGCTGGTAACGCCGAACCCAAGTTCAAAGTTTTTATAATGATGCGCCAAATGGTATTTCTTCATCTCACGAACGTACGAGGGCAGCTTCGTGTGATGAAGTCTAAGTGCACAGTCAATGAAGAGACACTTAAGTATTTGAATTATAGGACGTACGCATAATGCATGCAGTCATACAAAACGTCTAGAAGGATTATAAGTCTCGCAGAATACATATACTAGTCAGACGGAACTCACAGAACGCGAAGGCGCCAGCAATAGTCCCATTCGCCATCGCGGTGGGAAAAAGAGCATGCGCCAGTTTAGTCATAGGGAAAGACAACGCGGCAAACATCGCCGGCGGCATTACAAGTCTCAGGCTGCGGAATATGCCTCAGAGGTAGAATGAATCAATATGAGTAAATCGCTCACCGGTCCATAGGCAGATAATGGTGAACACCATGCAGCAAGAAATGCAATGTCAGCCCCGCCGGATGGTCAGGCAACAAGTTGTCGATGTGGAATAGGAAACGATGGAAAATGTATTCGAGGATGGTCCACACCAGGTTACCGAATGCGAAGCAGAGTGTCGTCTTGACAATAGATGATGCAGGAATACCGACAGCCATGAGAAGCTTCAACGGAGCGGAGGGGTTCACGCTGAACAACGGAAGGGCATTATTCCCAACTGTGAACTGGACAAGCGAGCGCGCGAAGAGGTAGCTAGCAATTGGCAGCCAAACGACGGGCACAACATACCACGCCGTGCGCGTGAAGACCTGAGGGAGCGCCAAATTTGTATACCGTTGAGAAATCAATGAGCTGGACTCACTTCTAGGTAAGCAGGGCCAAACAGGCGCGGTGATTCGGGCATATGGCGAGGTTGGTGGACTTGCTGCAAGTAGTAGGACTTGGTCCAATTGGCCTCCCAGACCTGGCGCAAAAGCGGCTTGCGGAGGTCAAGAAACTGGTTCTTCTCATAGTCCGCAGCGAGATCCGTGTCCTCCGGCTCAAAGCTATCTTCCGGAACCCAATCTGACCCCTAGCTTAAGCACCCACCTCAAGCGACAGATTCGGAGACGCACCTTCTCGCACAATCGTCTCGCTCGTGCCCAAACGGCCAATCGCGCATTCTTCCAACATGTCGTATGCCGAATCGGAGTGGTCATGCTCGAGAGGGTCCTTCATGATCTCCCCGACGTCTTTTCCGGCATAGTTGAGGATAAGATCGTCACCTCCGGGGTGGTCCGGCAGGAAGCCTGTAACGTCGTAAACCTTGCCATTACGAGAGACCCAGCAGCTGCTGGGCGAGCTGTGTTCTGCGACGTCTTCTGTGGTGAAGATGCGAATCCGTTTCGACATGTTGGGTGAGAGAGGCGGGTCCGATGGGAGGAGGCAGAGCTGTTTTCGATCCCGTTTTTCTAAGTTACCCGCCTTACGAAATCCGGATCACACCACCGTGACCATGAGTTTCCCAACATGTCTCTCGAACGGTCTCGGGCCCGACCGCCAGCTCTCGAGCTGTTTGGTGCTCCTCCAGCCTGCTCCCTGCAGTCTGGACGACTGGCCAACAATGCACATTACCGTTCTTGAACAGCACCATTATTCCAATCCCAGTCATTGGCCTCAAATGACACTCACAGTATGACTCATTAGCGGGACTTAGTAGGCTAGTAGGATAGGGGAGTCCCTCGGAAACATATCCGTTACCTCTCGCCATGTCATTGAAACATAAATACGTAAGACTAGGTCATCAAATGCCAGATTTTGGAAGAGATACACTATGCATAACGGAAACTTGACTGGCGCTCTCTCTCGACTCGACGTACTGCGCCGTCATCTCTGGTTCGGCATTTATTTAGTATGTCTTCTTCTTCTCATCCACAGAAAGACCACCTGCACGAGTAGTGTAAACCTCCATTTAAATAGTCAATTATCAAACAACCTACCAGGACCCATGTTCACTAGAAGAATCAAACCACCAACGATCGCTGCAGGGGAAAACATGAGAATGCAATGAATTGGGACACATAGTGAGCATGGCACAAACATAATGTCTGGAAGAAATCGTATCTTGGCGACACAAACGGTCAGACGCCAGCAAATCAACAAGATTAACAGTACATACTTCAGGAAATCTCTTTGTGGGTGTGCGGAGTGTACACTCCACCAGGCATTGATGAACGCGTTGAAGATGGACAACATGATTACAAGGAACGCGGCCGACCACTTTGCCTTAAAGCCGACAGCAACCATACCACAAGCTCCAAGACCAACAAGGGAGACGATCGCACGCCCAATGCTCCATTGTCCTCTCAGCATGAAACCGAGGAATAGGAAAATGAGCAAGACACGACCGGCCAGTAAGAAACTATAATCAAGGCGCTCCATAAGATACTCCAACCACCTGCTAGCTCAAGACTCACTATTTCTTCCGGTCGTTCTCACTGAGCGTCGGAAGCCCAGCAAAGATCTTCTTTCGGGTGTACATCGAATCCGTGAGAACCATGAGCAGCCCGCCAATGACGCTGAGGTTGCGGAGGAAGAAGTTCAGGTCGAAGATGAGTCCGTAGCCAAATGCTTGCATCACAACTACGCCCAAAAGGCCACCAACAGCGTACTCAGAGTTCTTCTTAAAGATGACAGCACCCGATCCGAATATCATGGTCTAAAAATGAGCGAGGGTGCGTTCACATTCATGATATGTCAGGGAGATGAGGGCTGCTGAATGCACTTACAAGAACATTGATGGCAAGAAACAGGTGGGAGAAGCCCCACCAGAAATGGCGGTGTCTACACCAGCAATCTTGTGGTCAGTTGTGCTTGCCAGCACAACATTAAAACGACACGCACTTTTGCAAGTACCACAGCTGGTCGCCCCATTGGCTGACGATTCGCAACGAGTCCTCGAGGAATGTGACGACAATGAGAAACCTGCCTATCGCAGGCAAGTGCGGTTTGAGGGGCTGGGAGTAAATGTCGACGTTTTCCTCGACCGTCCGCGCAAATGCACGGAGCTTCTCGAGTGGGTCGTCCGGATTCGCCGCCCTGTAGCCTGACGAGGACCGGGTGTTTCCAAATCCATGGGGGTCGGGAGCATAGCCTCCAGAGGCTGCTGCAGGACGTGCAAGGGAGATGCGAGCGGACATGGCGAGAGTGACAAGGAGAGTGGGTCAAGGAGCGGAGAACGAGCAACTGGACGCCGACGACGTGTCGATTGCGTGAGAATATAGCCTCATATAGGAGCTCGGGCACAGATCATTTTGTGATCTCATCAACACTGCAAGTCTGATAGCAGTTTCAAATGTACAGCAGCGTTCTTGATCACTCTAAATTCTGGCAGCCACATCGCGAGTTGGACAGAAGCAATCTTGCCGAATGAAACACGTACAGACTGTACAAATCGCATACACACGTCCAGGATGTTGTCGTGATCAAGGTCTTATGCACTAACACCGCTAGCAGCGGCCCGTTGTTTATCCCGACCACCGACTTGGATGGTCTCGAGGCTCTGCATATAGGCAACTTGCCAGTATCTTGACCGAGGTTTTCATGAACATGATGAAGGCAGTCTTCTGAGCCTACATAAAGACGGGTATAGAGTCCATCGCTAGCCAGTATTAGCCCTTGCTCGCACCACTCGATCCACTCGGAGTCTAGCTGGGAAGGTGTGAGTCCGGTGGGTTTCGGGGCAAAGCCCCTGATAGTCAGTAAGTGCAGTGTTTGGGTCTTTATGTATACAATCTGCTCACGGTCAGCTTTCTATGACCTCGCCACCTCGAAGCGGTCACTTTCACTTACGCAATTGCAAGTACTATGTGCGAGAAGCTCTCCGATCGGCGCATGCATCTTCGGTGATGTGTGTCGTCGGACCGTAATATACAAAACTCGAACAATGTAAAGCCAAAGGACACTGACACGTCCTGGTCGCCGTTCTGCATTTCTATCTACACATCCAATTGCTTCTTTCCCCGCATCGTACTCAACTAGCATCAAATATATCGCGATATTTTATGATACAACTGGATGTATCTATCAATGAGGTAACCTCTGCAGATGAGACATACTTTGATTTATTTTTATATTTACGGAACATAGTAGTTGGGTCGATGCACAGACCACTTTCCTCAGGGCAGGGGATTCAGGACTTTCTAACTTGGATTTCGAGCTCAAAGCACCATATCTGAAGTCTGGAGGATGGCGCGTCTCGAGACACTGTATGAATGAGTAGTGACAAGGTCCGCTGAACGTGTGGTACTCCCGCTGGCATCACGGTGTTCCCCACGTCTGCATCTGCCTACATTTAATTACACGAAGACGGTAGGTATGTACGGATGAGGAACGAATTATGTAGGGTCTTCCCTCCCCGTTCTGACCACAGTCTTCTGCTTGTCCATTAGTACTATGTATCTCATCTGCCAGGCCTCATAGGCTCTCGTGCCGATCGTTGTCTTCTGATCCTGTCCTACTAAGTTTACGGCTTGGAACGCATCCATTCGACTGCTGAGTTTTTGTCGACCTCGCCCTCGGCGTCGGCCACGTTTAAACTAGCTTCCCAAGAACACAGAGTTAACTTCTGAGTGTGCAGGCGGCTTGGAACGCGTCTATTCCCAAATAGCAGACCGCAATCGGATTTTCTCGTGAGAGGATGCTTCCAATGTTGTGCAATCTGCTCTGTCGATGTAAAGGGGTCGACGCAGCCGTCAGACATGGATAAGGATATTCACGAACCCGCAAAACTCCGACTCGAGAACAAAATGATGATATTACGAACATGATCAGTAAAAAGAGTTTGCCGTGTTGTTGAAGATGAATGAAGGTTGATGTCGCCTGATTGTCATGGACTATAATATATCAAGAGGCCAACGTTTGCTGAAGCCTGGCAGACCCTTATTTTGGCGCAAGCTCCACATCGCATTCATCTTGCGTCGGTACTGCAGATGCACCAGTTACGCCGTTTAACAGGGTCTGCGGATACGCCCCCGCTGAAGGACCACGAGCATGCGACTCGCCCATTTTTTATGTATTCTCTCTGCGCGGTCTCCTTGCCTCGTACAGGAACTTATCCGTGTTCTTCAACTGGCGGCATCAAATGGCGCTGAACATCAAAAAGGTTCCCGTAGATGATCAGTCAAGGAAAGAGCCGTTTGACGATTCAGTACCACTCGTCTTCACCCACCAGAACATTAGCCTGTACAATATCATCGTAGGAGAAGATGGTCGACTTTGGATGACTGATTGGGCCAGAGCAAGATACTGACCGCATTAATTTTGATTTGTGACAACACTGATACAAGAATACGACTTCGAGCTTTGAAACTGCCTGATTTCTTTCATTTATGGGTCATACTTCAGGCACTTCCTGGCTCTGTATTATATAGAGACGAGGAGTGAGCTGATCGAGACAGCATAATGGACACTTTTATGAAAAGAGTCACTTCGATGCATTGGTGGTGAGATCACTTACAGGTCGATGATTGCATCTCGGAGACAGTTACGCAACCGCCTTGAAATAACAACCGGACCCAACCTTTTCACAGCAGATTTGGTATGTCTAAACGCCTGTTCGCAGCATACGAACACCAACCAAAAGACGGCTAGTAATGCTGAGGGAAGCGAGTAAGTGGCTGCGATAGATATACAAAGAGGTTGGTGGTATGAGGTAGAGAGCCGTGAAGAGGAGGGATCCCGAGGCCGCGCTAGATTCATCGCCACTGGTTGAAGTAGACGCCCGTGGACGCGCCGGCTTGGTTGTACCAACGACGCGTCCAAGCTTGTGTTTGCTCTCCCCACCTCGCTTCATTACACCGCGCCCTCCCCATGCCTCCAAAGCGTGTCGCGGACCCGGACTCTGATGCCAGCTACTGCAGCCTTGAAGATGAACACGACGACAGCTACCGACCAAGCTCGTCCAAGAGCACAAAGAAATCCAGGACGGCGAAACGCGCACCCAGAGCGCGGAAACGCGTCAAAGGCGATCACGCAGTCGAGTCTGGCACGGAGAGCGATACCCATGGAGACGCACCCCGCCATTCCAACGCGCTACACACCATCGCAGAGCCCGAACCACTGCGCGAGGCGTTGTTAGCATGGTATGCGGACGTGCACGAAGTGCGCGGGATGCCATGGCGGAAGCCATACAACCCTGCTCTCGACGAGGAGCAACGCGCACAGAGAGCATACGAGGTGCGTCGCGCTGTCGTGCTGTCCGTGACGCTACCTTATTGACGCAGACCGCCTGCGCCTAAGGTTTGGATATCGGAAATAATGCTGCAGCAAACCCAGGTCGCGACCGTCATCCCTTACTATACTCGATGGATGGAGAAGTGTGTCTCATTTCTGCATCTGTCTGGGAAAGCGGGCTGACTCCCGCTTTCCCATGCCCAGATTCCCGACAATCCGCGACCTCGTGCGCATCTGTGCCTCGCTTCCATCTCGCTACTCTGCTCACACTCGTCTAGGCAGCGTCTGACATCGAAACCGTCAACGGGCTGTGGAAGGGCCTCGGCTACTACTCGCGCGCTGCTCGTCTGCTCGCTGGGGCGCAGAAAGCCGTTGCCGAGCTAGGTGGACGATTGCCAAACAATGCGCACGACATGGAGCGCGCGGTACCGGGGATTGGACGCTATAGCGCTGGTGCCATCTGCTCCATCGCATATAACGAATGCGTGCCTGTGGTGCGTTCATCTCTCTCTATCCCTTGTTATTAACCTCCCTAATGCGTTGCATCATATGATACCTATTCATCCGTGTGCAACTCCGATGGGCTTCTAGCTGGACGGGAACGTGCACCGGCTCCTGAGCCGTGTTCTCGCATTGTACGCGCCCCCTAAGGCGAAGCCAACTTTGGACGTCCTCTGGAAAGCTGCGGCGGAGATGGTCAGGAGGAGCACACGCGCGGGGGACGTCAACCAGGCCATGATCGAACTTGGTGCAACGGTATGCAAGGTTCGTGAGCCGTTGTGTGGCTCCTGCCCGCTGCGACCATGGTGCCAGGCATTCGCACATCATGCTGGCGGTGGGGGCGGTACGAGTAACGAAGGGGAGAGAAAAGAAAAGGTGCGTCACGGCACTCGAGCATGGCGTGTACTTGCGCCAGGCACCGGAAATAGACACAGGGGCGGACTCGTAATGATATTTTTACCATCACGCAGGATGTGCTGTGCCCTGCGTTGGATAAGACAGGCGTAAAGACGGACGTGGCTGGCCTAGACGTAGACATGGAAGACCTGTGCACGCTTTGCGAGCCGCTACCGAGCGGGAGCCTTGTGACCTGCTTCCCAATGAAAGCAGTGAAGAAAAAGGCGAGAGAAGAGGTCGATGTCGTCAATGTTATTGAGTGGCGCTGCACGTGGAATGGTGCGGGTGCTGAAGGTACAGACAGCGGCGATGGCAGGTACTTTCTGCTCGTGCGGCGTCCGGAGCGTGGTGGGTGGTTTTGCTGTGTTGCCGGTGTCCTGCATGTTGACCTATCGGCGTAGGACTGCTCGCGGGGTTGCACGAGTTCCCCACGGCGGCGAACGTCGATTCTGCGCTGACGCCTGCCGCACAGCGCGCGCTCGCGCATAGCATCACGACCGGGCTGCTCGCTGCACCTGTCGAGCCCTGTCGCGCCGGAACCTCGGGGAATCTTGCGAGCGGCGAAGGTACTGTCGACGATAGTCTGCGGATAGTACAGATTGTGGATGCGGGGGACGTTGTACACGTCTTCTCACACATACGCAAAACGTACCGCGTGCAGTGGGTCGCGTTGACGGGGGGCAAGCGGCCCCCGCATTTAGCCGCCTCATCCACCCCCGGCGGTCGCAGCGGCACTGAGGTCGGAGGCCGGCGCCAGGCAGGGGGCAAGAGCAGGAGCGCGCGCGAGAGGAGACTCACGGGAGAACGTAGCTCAGAGGCGCGCGAAGACGAACCGTTGCGCATCCAAGCGACGTGGACGCCCATGGCGGAGGTCGCCGATGCAAAGTGCGTACTGCAACTGTGGGAGCCGCATCAGTTGTGCTGAAAAATCGATTTGCTGCAGCATCGGCACGGGGGTGCTGAAGGTGTGGAGGCAGGTGTGTACGCTGTGGGACACGGGTAGTAGGAAGTAAGTAAAGGCTGCAGCCGCGAATCGTTCTATTTCTGCGCGTTTCGAGGCCCGCGGATGCGTACGAATGCGTACGCGGGGTATGGGGTCGAGAGCCGCCTCACCAAGGTTGCAGTGGGCGCAATGTATCCTTATATGTAGGGGATAGGCGACACGCGTGCTGGGGCGCGCCTTTGTGCGGATAGAGGGATAATTACGTCTGTGAATATCGATGGTAAGTGTGTGTGATGCGTGCATAGTATGATGGAGCGTGCAGTGCAGAAGGCTCAGAACTAGGGCTACACAAGTTTCTCGACTTGACACTTATTTAAAGAGATAATTTTCCACCCTGCAATGGAGACAACCTTCCCTAAGAGCATGGCACTCGTAATTCGAATGTCATTTGCAGGGTTGTTCCACGGTCGACAATACATCTCCTAGTTGACCCTCTGCAGCAAGATCCAAATGCTTTCCGATAGAGTCCATTGCAACTCTGCATAGTCGGCTCGCAAAGCGATAATAAATGTTTCCAGCTGCAGCAGACGGCGAAACATACAATGCGTATACATAACATTCATCTCTTCCTGAACGTATTTTTGCTCCCACTCCGCATGCCCTTTCGTCGTTGGGTCCGTCCTCGTCGCTCACTCTCGTTCATCTCTCGCTCGTGTTCCTGAGCACCTCTCGACATGCCAGCTCCGAACGTCTCCATACCTTTTCTCCTCCCCTTCTCGGGACGTTTGCTGTTGTGCCCGCTCTTGCCTCCGCTGGGATCCTCCCCAATCATCTCATCATCCCCGTCGCGTGTGCCGGTCGCCGACGGTGTGAATGTAACCTCCATACCCCCATCAGACGTGAATCGCACATCAGAACCAGATCCTTTGTTCTTAACTTTACGAGGACCTCCAAGACCGCCATTCGTTAATGCCGAGCGTCGTTGTCCGAAGGTAGCGTTTGGATCTATGGTGTGCGTTCCAGAACCAGACGCAGCGGCTTGAGCTTGTAGCGGCACAAGATGTACGTTGGGGGTGCGTTGTTGTGGCCGAGAATGGGTGCGCGCGCGCGCACTATCTCTTGCTATCATACGTGTTCGAATGTCGTCTTGCCAGAGTGCTGCAAACGCGTGTATCAGTGATAATTGTTTCTATAAAGCGGAACGAAACTTTACCGCCAGCTTCATCGCTATCTTCGCTGCCGCTCTTGTCTTCCTCACTCCCCTCGCTGTCGCTCAAACCGTCAGACGAAGACTTGTCACTGTCGTCCTCTTCTTCCTCCACAGCAGTCCGCCTACGTCCATCGCTCGCTGCATCTTGTCGATTTTGTCGCCGAGCCACAGTGGATGGGTTGAGTAAGGCAAATTCTCTGGTGTTTTCGTCCACCTCAAACTCGGGATTTTCGAACAGCTCTTTGAAGCGAGGGTCGCTCAGCAAGTTTGGCTTTTCCTTCTTACCCTTGTCATCCTCCTCGTCTACATCCATTGCCTCTTCAGCCTCCCCATCGGTTTCTTCGTCCTCGTGCACCTTCTTTGCCTTGCGTCTCTCTTCGCGTTTCTGAGCGCGCTCTTCTTCCTTGCGAATTTTTTCAGCGAGCGCCTTGTTTACCTTAACACCCACGTCTTTGCGCGTGCGGATCCGGCTCTCTGCAAGCTTCTCCATCTTGTCGCGCACAACACGCTCGCGATGCTCTGCATATACGTACGGGTTTGCTATCACACGCGCAGTGTCATACAGCTGGAGGGATACAAAGTATCCATGCATGTATGGCTTCAGTGCTGGTGTGCCGACAAGTTGGTCTAACCCAAGGCTGGAAGACGCAAGTGTTAGCGGAATCCTGTCAGCTAAATAGGGTCGCCTTGCAAGACACGTACCTTGCGAGCTCGCTGCGTTCAATAAATTTGTAGTCCTGGTAAGCTGTGCGCGCTGTCTGATCCTCCATCTCCTCGGTAAGATTCTCGAGGAAACTGCACCAGCGTGGTGCGGGACCGAGTTGTGGAATGAAATAAGTGGTCATTTGGATACCCTCGTTTGCTAACATGAGTAGACCACTATCCGGAACGTGATGCACGTCGTTAATATCTTGGGCGGGCGTGATAGACGCAAAATTTGCCTCAGGCTGGAGTGTATAGTCAGCCGTGGGGCATGAACGAACGAAATATGACAAAGTCCACACTTACAGAAGTGCGGTCCCAAATCTTGATGACCTTCTTGTCAGCACTGAGTACCAAGCCGTCACCGGCCATTCGGCCTCCTCCTTCGATCCAGATAACATTTTGGACGGGCAAGCCATAACCTTGGTCTTTGATTGCCATCGGACGCGTTGATCGTATGTCATAAAGTAAAGTGTGACCGCTTGACGCCCCGATCGCATACGAGAGACCATCTGTTCGTGAAGATATTGCGGTCACGGATAGCGATCGTTCGGTGCCATCACTAATGCCTGGAAGCATGGGCACGGAAGCAGCACCAATTGGCATCAATCGGTCTTTGGGCAACCGCAGGATGCCTACCCGTGCGCGCGAACGCGGGTCCCAGAACTCGACCGTGCCATTCCCCTCGATGCCAAATCCGAATAATTGGTGCGCCGGATTGATATCAATCACATTTACGCCAGAAATGTCCTCTCCACCGTCACCTTGGAGGTGCAATGGATTCAAGAAACGTCCTTGATCGAGGTTTAGTCGATAAACTTCTGGTCCGGATCCTGCAACAAGGGCGTCACAGGAGGGGAAATGGTATGCCAAGGCGCGTCCAAACCGAGGTATTCGAGTGCGGTAATGGAATCCTCCCTGCGTATGAAGCTCGACCGAGCGGTCGTTTTGAAGGTGGATAGACTTTGTCCAGTCATCCGAGAGCATCTGGGCGACACAGAGTGTATGAGAACTCATTAGATATTCAAAGATATAGGGGAGTAACACGGGCGGAGGAGGAATACACACGTAAATGACTTATAGTGGAGAGATGCCGACTCATGGAGGTGTGATGTGACCTGTGCTGCAGGTAACTCACCCTTCATGTCGAGATGCAGCCATGACTATCCCGCAGCTCATACACGACGCAGGCACTAGGCACCCGTGTCACTCCTCGCCCGAGAGATCTGAATAGACCGACTCACAATGAAATCTACATTCTCTGCGTCTGTGTGCCGCTCAAACTTCAGCGACAGCTGATCGAGGTCCCACAGCTTGATTTGGGGTTTGTACGTCCCCGTCGCGACAATATGGTGTCCATCTCGGCTGCTTTTAATCTTGTTGCTTGCCTCCGGGAACTCGAAGTGTTGAATGAGCTCGATGGTACCTTCAACCTGTTCACGAACAGCGGCGCGTTTTCCTTTCCCTTTTGCAGCCCGTTTACGCGTGAGCCAGTCCGGGAGGGAAGATGAAGAACCGGACGCAGGGCCATTAACAGTGTAGACTTTAACAGAGGTCGGATCGGGTAGAGCAACCATTGTAACGCGAGATGGACGTCAAGAAGGGTTACTATTGTCCAAGAATCCCAAATTAGCCGTCCGGCAGTTAGGATTCGCTGAAAGCAGTGAATTTAAAGGAATCCGGGCTTGCGAGCATAGATCCGAGATTGACTTTAAGCTGCACAAAATTTGTCGAAATCTCTCGGACTCCCTGCTATAGAGATCATGTGATCTAATCTCGGATATAGCCTTTTAGCAGCAGCAGTAGCACTGTAGTAGCAGTCTGACTGGGTTGCTCTAGGACAGCTGTCGCTCTGAGATCAAGCACGTTGGGATTCATAAGTTTTCTACATAGTTCGAAGCGACGTACAAGTGCAACTGGCCAACTTTTGACTAGGAATTGTGGCCAGAGCCCATCACCAATTTAGCGCTTTCACCCGTCTACTGTGTCCACCGCTCAGAGTCGCTGCGTGCATCGCCGCCTATTGGACCTCGTTCTGGACGTCTGGCTCTTTGTTATTCTAGCTTAAACCAACACTGTTGAGAACACTTTAGGTTTCCTACCAGTGGGCTTTCTGTACAGGGTATGAACCGCCTGAACTTTGAGATCGACGATGCGGAACTACTAAGGACCTACAGTGTCTCTTCCCTGTCTCCAAAGTAGTTTCCTTACACGTGGAAAATCTGAGGACGCTAATTACGCATTTTCAGGAAATGGGAGGAAGTGGACTATGATAAGGACGACCCTCTGATAGGCGTCCTGAGTTCGAACATCGGGGAGGGCGAACCTGATCCATTGGGCTTAGATGCTGTGATCGAGTGCGTCAAGCAGACTTTGCACGGACGCGAGTGTAATTTAACTTCCGTCTTAGTGTTAAGAGTATGGATGCTGGCACCAGTTGGTATGTTTATTTCTGCGTGGACGTGTTATTCACAAGTGTACTCTATAGGAGCGGCCGTGCTCATTTCGTCCAAATCATTCAACCCGAAGACTTTCCTATCCACTGTGCACCCAAATGCAACATACCAGGACCTCGCCTCAGGCATATCGAGCCTCCGAGCGTCCATCGAATCACGTTCAGAGGCTGTCCGCGTCCTCGTGGAAGAAAATTTCAACAGATTTGTTGCTGTCAAAGCATCAACCGATGGTATAGGTACTGTGCATATCAGATATGTAATCCCTAACATGTTTGGTCACAGCTCTCTACGCGGAGATGCAGGAAGGTCTCCTTGCCGAACAAGCCGAATTTGCCTCGAAACCTCTCAAGAACCACTTGAAATGTATGCACCTAGTGTTTCCATTCTAAGCATCTGGGGACTAAGCGTGTGTGAAAAGTGGCTGCGCAAAAGGCCGATCAGGTCTTTCTTCCTGTCCTGGAGAATGCTTTGAAAGCACAAAAGCTGCGTACTACCCTCGGGGTATTTGAACGGTCCAAATTCTTCTTCAGCCTTCCAGGCTCATTAATCGAGTCAATCGAGGCGGTATGTCAACGCAGCCCCAGATGATCATGACTACCTTGCGCTAAGAGTGTACATTCAGGGCCGTTATGAAGCAGCTATGCGAGACTACAAGAAGGGAAAGTTCCTACTCGAGTCTCGACCTGGTCAACTTCTGCCAGTTGGATCTAACAAAGACGAGCAGACGTTGATAGTCGCGGAAATACAGCAGAAGCGTATTCTTAATAAAGTGTGGAGCACAGTGGAACGGGTGATGGGTGAAATGCGTAATCAACTCCTTGCAAAGTTGCAGGAACCCACACGAAGCGTGGACGAGCAGGAAAAAACAATTGAGTAGGTCAGATGGTGCCTTGCATTCATTCCGTTCTGATAGAACGCGCAGAATATTATTGGAACTCAACCCGTCAGATGACCCTGTTTGGACTTACTTCGATGCACAGCACAAATATATCCTTCAGCATATGCAGGAAACGTATACGGCCGCCGTCAGTGCGATTCAGTGTGAGTTTTTGTTGCTGTGCACACAAATGCTATTTGAATTTACAGCTGCTGTTTAGCTATTCGCGACAAAGCGCAGCCTGTGATCGATGGTCCAGAAACGTTGCCTTCTATTCTATGCGTACAGCTCCAGACGTGCATAACCGCGCTGGATCTAAAGCAGGGGGACACAATTTTTGGTGAGTATTCCAATCGATGTCGCGGAGAATACCCTTGACAAGCGGGGTTCTTTGCGTGTAGCGCAAACGGGAGGAAGCGAAGTCTGGCAGGCTATCCTGACGATGGTGAAGAACGTTTCAGAAGTCATGTTGTCATCGCTGCCGAACTTCTGGAGAATTGCGAAGGAGTTTTTAGACGGGAAACTGAAGAAGGTCGGTCGCTCAATTGTAATTTGATGTTCTCCGGCCCGCTCAGAATCCGCACAGAGCCCAACAGGGAGCGCCTCACGGCGGAGCCCATCCCAATGCCGGACCATGGCACTTGATATCGTAAAACTTTACATCTCTCTCCTGTCAGAATTTTTCGTCTTCTCGGATAGCCTCGTCCCATCTCCTCCGGGAAGCGTTGATACTACTCCTCCCCTTTTCCCGAAAGATTCGAATGCTTTTGCCACGGGGCATCACATGATGAAGATACTGGGCGAGATCCAAGACTCCGTGAATGATCTGAACGCGATGGAAATTTCCAATGAGGCTACATCTAATCTAAGGGGCCTGCTGGAGAGCGCGAGGCGGAAGTTTGAGGACGTTCTCATCCAGGCCTGGGTGAGAGGTGAGTGGTGGCCGATGGAAGAATATTTTCGTGTTGGTTGTGGCTGATTGGTTCACCGCAGACGCCAATATTTTCTACTACCTGGAGGACTGGATAGGGTCGACTGTTGACCCGTTCACGACGGTGTATCTTGCGAAACTGCGGGCATTCCAGAAGGAAATGAGCACATGCGCGTTTAAGATTGCCGGCGGGGCGGATCTCTCCACGTCGTCTCTCTCCGTGTCGCGCTCAGGCAAGCGGAAAGGCGTCGCTCCCGAGCTCACCAGCAGAATCACAAAGGCGTTCCTCGATTCCCTTTTCGCCGTTCTTGATGGACTCGTGCATCTCGCCTCCGATGATTCACCCACGGTTACTAACCCCCAACCCACGGTATCGGACGCGGGAAGTGCGAGAACGAACCCCTTAGAGCTTGTGAACGTTCAAGAGACGGTATGGAATTTGGTATTATGCTGCTGTCGGCATGCGAGTGAAATGTGCCCTCTTTAGGACACCAGGCTGCTTCTCGTGGTTTCAAACATTGACCACCTCAAACGCGCGCTGATTCCCAGTATGATCGGTGAACTGGGGAGTGCGCTCGGTATCTCCATCGAAGAGGATAAACGTGTGAGGGCGCCGCGCGCTATTCCCCCTTTCTCGCGCGGGCATTTGTGTCTGAATCATGACCGCGCCCGGGCAGACGCTGATGACTATTGTGCAAGAGCTGGACAACACCCTGTTTGAGAGCTACGTCAAACCTAAAGCGACAGCTCTTACGGCGATGGTGCGGAGGGGAGTTCTGGACCCTGAGATGGACTGGTATGAGACGCCGCAGCCGAGAGGTGTGTCCCACTCTATCACGCTTCAATGCCGTGTCTGAACGAGAATTCAAACGCAGAGATCCGCCCATACGTATACGAGCTGCTCATGTTCCTCGTGGGCGTCCACGCGCAAGTGAGCGCCGTGGCCGCTCCGCTGCTGGAGCGCACGCTGAACGCGCTGGTCGAAGATGTCGCCGAAGAGTCCCTGCGCTGTTTCCGACAAGTGAAGCGCTTCGGCATGGGCGGCATGCTTCGGGTACGTACACACGTCTCGCCGTTGCGTGTCCTGCCATACAAGCTCTATCGCTTCCTCTCACGGGTGACTAACGCCTCTCTCAGGCCACGCTAGAGATTGAGTTCCTGCATCAGACTCTCGTGCGCTACGTCACGCCGTCCGCCGACCAGACCATGTCGGATCTGTACACCAAGATCTCGCAGGCGTACGCACGCCGCCCTGGTGACGAGAACCTGCAGGCCCATCTGGACGGCGTCAAGAAGACGCTCGCGGACACTCGTCGGGCGACGGCCATCGAGTTTCTGTGCTTCAAGCAGACGAAGGATAAGACCAAGGAGAAGGGGGCTTCCGGGGCCAAGAAGGAGAAATCGAGGGAGAAGGAGCGGGAGAAGGGAAGCTGATTTGTGTATAGGCGTCGCAGGCCAGTGTTCGCCGGGTGATTCGCTTTAACGCACCACGGCCTGCTTCTGGCACACGCCGCTTCCTTGGACCTAGTGGCCCTGCCATGACATGTATACGGAACTCGACGCTCGGGGACAATGCCAATGGGAACGGCGAAGTAGTTGTAGTCAACGACAGTCCGGATGTAATCATGAGAATAGGTCCACAATGATGGTGATAATACCCAAAACTTCACAGGCATTGAACAAAGAGATGAGCGGTGATGTCTGGGAAGCACAAGAGGGGCCGGAGAGGAGAGGAGTGTCACACGCACCGATTTCGACAGCAATCAGAGCGATGACGATTTGCTCCAGGCGTTCCGCGTGCCGGCTAGACACCGTCTCCTTGAGGAGCTGCAGCATGTCTTGCAGGACCTGCGGGTGTGACGTGTGGGTTCGCGGTTTGTCAGAAAACTGCAAGAGGGGGGGGGGAAACGGCGTACCTCGACACGTGTGTTGAGGAGGTCTATTCGCTGCGGGATCTCGAGGTAATCTCGTGCAGCGTCATACAGCGGCTGCAAATCGGGGTACGTCTGCGAAATGACACGAGACACGGGGTGGGGCCATGCGTTGATCAGAACGCATGTGTCAGGCTGTCGTTGCGACTCACCCAGAATACCTCCTGTTCATTCACGCGGGATGATCGGGCACCGCGGTGAGCAAAACACGACAGAGTCACAGGGTCCGGTGGGACGCACCGGCGAATCAAGCACCGATCCGACGGAATTTATGTTTGTCCTCAACAGGAACAGCTCGCCGATCTTCCGCATGATGTCTGGAACAATGCAGGGTCGCGGAGGACGTTACGACACGGCACCCCCGACGGCCGGCGCTGCACGCACCCTTGTGAGGCATTCCGATTTTGCCTGTCTCGCTGATGATTTCTGGAATGTCCTTCGTCTCTTCTATCGTTGACGAGATGAGTTCTTCAAACTGTCCACGAGCCCCCGCACAATGTCCGCCGCAATGAATTAGTACGCCCTTCTGGCAAGTACCTTGCAGGGGCGCACCAATGAGATCTTGACCGATTGAGACAGCGCGTGTGATAAGGACAGCTTGGTCCTGGACGAAGCGTCGGCTGCCATCCATTCTCGAGTGGAGTCGCAAACCCACTCACATATAGCTCGAGCCCACCCGGAGCGTGATGACATCGTTGTATATCCTAGAAAACCGCCTGAGACACCATTTCTCAACAGAGTCGATGACTAGCCGATTACCGGCTGTAGTTCGCATAGTAGTAATTCAGGTCTTCCATCTCCACGTCGTGCGGTGCTGGCGCGGGTACCGGTCAGCCGCATCTGTGCGCGCGCACAGCGGAAAGCACCCCGGAAAAAAAAGACCGAGCGGGCGTACCTAGCTTGTCGACTTCGAACCGCTTGCTACGCGAGGCAATGTGAGCACAGGCTGCCAAAGCCCGGAGGCCGCACGTACATGGACGACAGGAACCGCCTCTCCTGGGCTTCCGTCATTCCCCACAGAACGACGGTGCCGTACTTGAACATGAATATCTCCGCTTCCTTTGGGGTCTCGCGCGCGAGGGAGCGTTTTTTGCGTGTCGTGAGCGCGGCCTCGCCGTCGCCGTCGCCGTCGCAGGCGCCGAGTGCGAGCTCCGGGACGCCGAGGAGGTCGCCGGTCTGGCTCTGCTGCGTGCTGAAGCGGACGTGGCGCTGCGCGCCCGGCGCGTCCTCCGCGGGGGGGTCGTACGCGTACGGCGTGTGGATCGCCTCGTCGATGATGCGGGGGTTCGTGTGGTACGACGAGCGGCGGGCGTTGAAGAACTTCATGAGCTCTGGGAAGCGGTACGAGCTGGAGAACGGTCAGCATCGGGGGCGGAGGGGGAGGAGAGGAGAGGAGGACCCGACCCTGCAGTGGCGTAGGCGGTGACGCGGGGCAGCAGCTTGGCCTTGCGCTTCGTCAGGCGCAGCGCATCGCGGCGCGCAGTCCCGGCGGGTATGCGGTCGATCTGGTTGTACACCTGCGCGGGAGGGGCTCCTCGTCAGCCAGGTGCTCGTCCAGGCGGCGGGAGGGCGCACGCACCTCGGCTGCCTCGGGTTCGTCGTCTTCGTCTTCGTCCTCGTCGTCACCCTCGTCGTCGCCTTCGTCGTCTTCGAGCTGCTCCTCGGTCTCCTCTACTATCCTGTCCTTTGGCGGTGCGCTCGTCTCGGCAGGCGTCTTGGGCAGCACAGGCTCGACCTGGTCGGGGAGGACCTTCAGCTTGCCCGCGACCTTCGTCGAGCGATTCGCCCCACGGGCCTTGTGCTCTCCGGCGGGGAGCGACGGGGCCTTTGTGTTTGGCTGGCTCGAAGACATCGCAGTGCGGATGGACAGAGCAGACTCTGGGCGCATCGACGAGCCCGTCGCTGTCGCCGCGGAGCGGATGACGCGCAGACGCCAACCTATATTTGGAGCTATCGCGTCAAATTCCAGTAAGCAAAAATTACACGCGTTAATTAACGTTTATTCCCCGCCGGGGACACGTTTGTTGGCCGAGTCGGTGCGCCCGGCGGCGACGGCGAGCGTGTTGCGTGTCGCCCGCTCCTTGCTCCCGCCCACTTCCTCGCCGCCCTCCTCGTCCAGCCCTCCCCCGCCCCCGACGCACGCACCCACGACACTTGCATGACCAGCCCAGCGCACGACGCCGACTACCTCCCCGGCTCCCCTGACGACCCCGACTTTCTCTAGTACGTCCCCCCCCCCCCCCCCCCCCCC